TATTATCTTTGTAATATTTTTATATCACCCTCATTTACATAACCCCGACAAAAGAAATATGGTCCTATCACGCGAATGAGAACTATATCGTCTTTGTGATTATTATTATCCTTGTCATAAACTCCAACCAAAAACTATACTGTCCTATCACGTGAATAATAAGTTCCCTCGCATTCGTGATAATTATTATCTTTGTCATATATTTATATCACCCTCATTTACATAACCCCGACAAAAGAAATATGGTCCTATCGATCGAATGAGAACTTCTATCGTCTTTGTGATTATTATTATTCTTGTCATATACTCCACCCAAAAACTACTGTCCTATCACGTGAATAATAAGTTCTCTCGCATTCGTGATAATTATTATCTTTGTAATATATTTATATCACCCTCATTTACATAACCCCGACAAAAGAAATATGGTCCTATCACATGAATGAGAACTTCTATCGTCTTTATGATTAGCATTATCCTTGTCATAAAATCCAACCAAAAACTACTGTCCTATCACGTGAATAATAAGTTCTCTCGCATTTGTGATAATTATTATATTTGTCATATATTTATATCACCCTCATTTACATAACCCCGACAAAAGAAATATGGTCCTATCGATCGAATGAGAACTTCTATCGTCTTTGTGATTATTATTATCTTTGTCATATATTTATATCTCATTTACATAACCCCGACAAAAGAAATATGGTCCTATCACGCAAATGAGATCTCTTATCGTCTTTGTGATTATTATTATTCTTGTCATATACTCCACCCAAAAACTACTGTCCTATCACGTGAATAATAAGTTCTCTCGCATTCGTGATAATTATTATCTTTGTAATATATTTATATCACCCTCATTTACATAACCCCGACAAAAGAAATATGGTCCTATCGATCGAATGAGAACTTCTATCGTCTTTGTGATTTTTATCATCATTGTCATAAACTCCAACCAAAAACTAGTGTCCTATCACGTGAATAATAAGTTCTCTCGCATTCGTGATAATTATTATCTTTGTAATATTTTTATATCACCCTCATTTACATAACCCCGACAAAAGAAATATGGTCCTATCACGCGAATGAGAACTATATCGTCTTTGTGATTATTATTATCCTTGTCATAAACTCCAACCAAAAACTATACTGTCCTATCACGTGAATAATAAGTTCCCTCGCATTCGTGATAATTATTATCTTTGTCATATATTTATATCACCCTCATTTACATAACCCCGACAAAAGAAATATGGTCCTATCGATCGAATGAGAACTTCTATCGTCTTTGTGATTATTATTATCCTTGTCATAAACTCCAACCAAAAACTATACTGTCCTATCACGCGAATTAGAACTTCTATCGTCTTTATGATTAGTATTATCCTTGTCATAAAATCCAACCAAAAACTACAGTCCTATCACGTGAATGAGAACTTCTATCTTCTTTGTGATTATTATTATTCTTGTCATATATTTATATCACCCTCATTTACATAACCCCGACAAAAGAAATATGGTCCTATCACATGAATGAGAACTTCTATCGTCTTTATGATTAGTATTATCCTTGTCATAAAATCCAACCAAAAACTACTGTCCTATCACGTGAATAATAAGTTCTCTCGCATTTGTGATAATTATTATATTTGTAATATATTTATATCACACTCATTTACATAACCCCGACAAAAGAAATATGATCCTATCGATCGAATGAGAACTTCTATCGTCTTTGTGATTATTATTATCCTTGTCATAAACTCCAACCAAAAACTATACTGTCCTATCACGCGAAGGAGAACTTCTATCGTCTTTATGATTAGTATTATCCTTGTCATAAAATCCAACCAAAAACTACTGTCCTATCACGTGAATAAGAAGTTCTCTCGCATTTGTGATAATTATTATCTTTGTCATATTTTTATATCACCCTCATTTACATAACCCCGTCAAAAGAAATATGGTCCTATCACGCAAATGAGAACTCTTATCGTCTTTGTGATTATTATTATTGTTGTCATAAACTCCAACCAAAAATTACTGTCCTATCACGTGAATGAGAACTTCTCTCGTTATTGTGATTATTATTATCTTTGTCATATATTTATATCATCCTCATCTATAACCCTAAACAAAAATAATATGGTCCTATATCACGCGAATGAGAACTTCTAGAGAGAGAGAGAGAAAGTTGGAGCGAAAGAAAGATGAAGGGTTGATATCATTGACCTACTATGGTGATAGTAAGTGAGAGAGAGACAGTCATCAGACAGACGGACACAGACCGACAGAGAGAGAGACTAACAAGTGATATGGATATAGAAATATGATACAGAAGGGGATGAACGAGGTGATGCGATGAGAGGGAGAGAGACAGACAGATATATATATATACAATATACATCAAAAGAGAATGGTATGGGGTAGAGAAATAAAGAGAGAGTGAAAGAAAATGGGAGAAATAAAGATAGCGAGAGAGAGAAGAGAGAGAGAGAGAGAGAGAAAGGAGAGAAGGGATAGAGAGGGATACAAAAGAGAGATACAAAAGAGAGAGGGGGAGATGAGAGTGATATAGAAGCGACAGAGAGAGTGAGAGAGAGAATTTCAAGGGAGAGTGTTATAACATGGACCTGGTTATGAGACGGTAGGCGAAGGATATAATTCAATTATACGGAAAGAGAGAGATTAGCCCAAACCGTAGCCCAAACACGTGTAGCAATTACTGACCTCTACCAGAGGTCATTTAGCAGGATAAACAAAACGTACTCGTAAACTTACTAAGGGATGATCTAAAAATAAGAATGTGCAGTATACACATGATCGACTGTTCGGGAAAACGTCAAGTCAACCTTATTATTGATTAATCTTCGTTTGTAAGATTAAACGTATCTTCCTTATTTTTAATAAAGAAATGCAAAATAAATAATGTTACGTTCTCTCTATAAATGATTACCCAAACTGTCCCTGTACAACGACTTTGGGGAGTATTTTGAGATCATCCCTAAAAAAAAAGGTGCTAGGAAATTCTTCGGGCCAATCCGGCACATAGACTAATACACGCACACACGTAACATGTACTATACGTAGGCCTAATACATGCATAGGGATGCCAGATCATTGCAGTTCATCACGACCACTTGACTGACTTGACCAAAATACAGGCAATGTGTGCGTTCGTTCACAGAGCTGACGAACAACAATATTATCAAAGTCGAGCCATAACAAATGCATTTCAAAGTTGAAAACACAGAAACGATTAAGAGAGGGAAATGGAAAAATGAGTTGAAGAGAACAACACAGAATATTCCGGCCCGCACAGGAAATACATAGACTAACGTACGTAAGTACAATAAGATGGCGGCGGTCCGATCGATTATAAAAATTTATATAGCGATTACAGTGTACAGACAAGTGTTTTTTTTCTTCAAATTTGGGAGACAGTATAAAAATCTTACACTAAGGCAACTCGACTTTAAAATAATTATCTTTATGATTATATATATTGTTTAAGTCTGGTAATATGATTTGGTGTCAAAACATGTTAATTACTACACTTTGACAATAGTGCTATATATGTGTTATGCTGTTCAGATGACATGTAAATTTTCGAACTGAGAGGGAGCTATACCAAATTTACCGGGAGTACCGGTAAATTTTTTTATTTTTTTAAATTTTAATTACTCCAAATCAAAAGCTTTTTAGAGCCCAATTTTTTTAGAGTTGGGTGTTCTAACACTATGTTTCACAATAGTAATGCAAATTTTAAATTTCATGATCCAATCCTGATGAAATATTCCCAAAACTTTGTAATACCTTTAAATTGGGGAAATGCCTCTTTAGAAGGAGCAAGATGTAGGTTACATACATGTATAGTAGACTTGTGTAACTATTATGGGCATTTGATTTTAGCTTTATAAAAATCCATATTTCAGCAATCAAACTATATTTCAAATGTAGTAATTTGTATTTTCTTAATAATTCACTGTGCCGATATACATAAACAAGTTCTTCAGTAGGAAGCATCGATCGTACAAAAGATATTTCAAATGTCCAGCATATGATATTTCAACGCTTTTTGGAATAGTGTAGAAGCTTTGGCTACCTGTAGGTGTGAATACTTTCAACGCAAACCTCAATCAAGTGGCGTCATTTAACACTAGGATGGTCATCTGACTTGTAGATTTACCACATATCATCAATAAGGTAATACGATTCCTCCCATTCCTTCATTAACTCTTTACATGCCACATAAAATGATCTCCCTGTGCCACATTGTATCCATTATGGGATAGATCTACCAAGGACTTCACGATTATGTTTCCGGGGCAAGATTAATTGATGTGGATGGTGTGAAAAGGGTTGTCATGGTGGTTATAAAGACCGGAAAAGGGTAACTTCGCAAAGCTATTGTATTGTACAAAGCATTTTTTTTAAATGAGTGACTGCGTAGTGAGTCGAAGAAAGCAACAGAATTGTTAAACTGCCTTCTCAAACTTGATACAAGTGTGAAATGATTAAAGTTAATGGCGTTGGCCACAGTGACGAATGCCCACTTAGATGTGAAACCACAGCTAATTTATTTTCAAGTTGATTCTCCTGTTAGCCTAGCACAAGGGGTGCTTGGGATTGTGAGGGGGTGAATGACCCCTGCTCGTGAGCTTGAGTGAAAGCATGAGAGGCATGCGCAAGTACCCTTTTAGTAAGTCATTAACCATTGAAGTATCTTGAATAGGACTTGAAACCATAGATCCACTTGTTGATCATCTATGAGCATGCACTTACTTTAAAACTGAATAATCATCATTCTTGGACCATGCAGTCCATTTTAATTAATGCAATTGTATCATCACCACTACAATCACCTTCACTATACAACAATCTCCATCATCATCATCATCATCATCATCATCATCATCATCATCATCATCATCATCATCATCTTCACCATCCTCATCATCATCTTCTTCTTCATCACCATTGTCATCATCATCATTACCATCCTCACCATCATCATCATTCTTGTCGTCATGGAATACTGCTACATGAACAAATAACTTGAATTGCGCATACCAGTATTGCAATGGGTATACATACGTGGGAATATCTGAACCCAATTATCCACACCTTTCTTTGCTTATCATTCCATTACTAAATATATTTCTCTAAGAAAAAAAAATCATTAAAAAAATAGCATTTAACGTTTGACTCTCAGTGAAAATTGTCCACTTTCCATCATTCCTCACCAGAGCTCTCTCAAGAGGAGCTCGCCTTAAGCCTAATCTAATCCGGATAAAGCAGCATGTCTAGATCTGATCTTACCTCCAGTTCGGCTCGCACGATATCAAAGGATCCCCACGATGCAACGAACGACCGCTCCTTGGGAAGCACCCGGATGTTGTGGCCTTTGTCACCAAGCTGGCTCACCATATCCATAATTTCCTGTCGAAAGGAAGAAAAGGAAGAAAAAAATGAAAGAAAAGGAAGAAAAAAATGAAAAAAAAGAAAAGGTCAATGAAGAGAAGGCTGAGGAGATATTAAACTCCCCCTTCAGACTACCAAAATTCAAGGTATAGATGTACAGCTAAATGTATACGATAAGTGCTTTAAGTTTTGTAGTCTGAATGTTATGTAATGAAGTTTATGTCATGTACTTGTAGCCCGACGTAAGTTTGAGCGTTGCTTCAAATGCTAACTCTACATGTATAAAAGAATTGGGGCCACCTTCACATCTGACTGTTGTATCATACAAAGACGTTATAACTGGGTGGGGATTGTTGTGAGCCTGTAATATGTCCACTAACCCTCTTCAAACCTAGTTTCTTTGCTCATTATTTCTTTACACAGTTGGTCTAATTCTCAGTTTGTATAAAGTCACTTTTGTCTACCATCCATAAGGTCTGATAATCATTTGATGTTTACTAGACAAAATGGGCATTAGACAAAATTGGAATTGGAACTGACTGGAAATTAAGACTAAATTAGAGATACCGATAGATCAAATGAGTAGTAGACTAATCGGAGATTTTGGATTAGACCACAAGCAAATTAGACCAAATGACTATTAGCCTAAAAGATCATTAGACCAAAAGATAAGTAGACGAAATGATTATTAGACCCATGTAGATAGTAGACGGGCTGGATGTAGACCATTTGGAAATAGACGAATTGGGTAGAAGACGAACTGGTTGTAGACCAAACGACAATAAAACCCTTTATACCACTGCTATAAGTTGATTCGCTATACATATGCAGCGTTTCTTTACGCAAGTTTTAATAGATTTTCTCCAGTCTGAATGAGCTAATAATTCAGGTTTATGGTGATTACCACAATGCCAACTGATGCGAGAATTGGCAATGATACTCCCTCGTAGCCTTCATAATCATAGATTTCATTCATGCAAATCTGTGATATCGGATGAGCTAGGTGCAAGAGTTCATTTTAGCAATCGCAGCTAGTTCACCAAAAAAATGACTAGGATTGCATCTAGCAAATTGTTAAATCTTATACTTGGCAGTACCTCGATCTCCTGGAGGTCCCTGCTCTTAGACCAGGTTTTATTTTGCACTTGTCAAAAGCCAGCATTCAAGAATGGATTTTATGTCTTTAAATTTCAGAAATTAAAGTATGTCCAATCGACTTTATGCTGAAGATTTGCAGCGAGTACGGAATTATCCCCCCCCCCCCAAAAAAAAATAGTTTTAAGGTAAATTATCACATATTCTACAAGGAATACTTGCAACCCCCCCCCCCCCCCCTATGAAAAAAAGGTATGAAAACTTGTGCTTTTGTGAACCAAGTATTAAAATATTCTTATAATATCATTCTTCAGATATTCTTATCGTATTTAGAATTTAAATCAGAAAGACGGTTTTTGATTAGCTTTCCTATCTCTGATACAATTGTCATTTCTTTGAAAACCGGATCGCAGGACAACCGTGTACTGTGCGGTTGGTTTATAAGAATCCTCCAGACAGTAGAATTTATGAGAGACATCTTGTGACACTTGATCTCCACGCTTTTTTCAGGGGCAAAGAATTACCCAAAGACGATGAAACGTATTAGAGGAATGAATGTAAATAGGTGTACAGGGATCCGGCTCATTCGACTCCCAAGACATCGTATTTGAAGGGTCATGACTTTCCAATTCATAACGAATGATGTGAATGGATAGTAACATGAAGTTACACAGGACACATACAAATGTAGACATGTAGATCTATGAAACCATTCAGAGTGAGGCTTAATTTACATTCACTGTACAGAGACTGTCAGGCTGCTTGAGTTTTAAAAAAAATGATCATCTTTGCATTCACATGCTTTTTGGAGAGTGGAAACCATCATCATGGGCCTGGATTTTCACTGCAAAATGTTATGATTCTAAATGTGACTCCTAAAAAGAGTGAATTTCCACTCCTAGAAGAGTGCATATCCAATTCTGTATATTTAGAGAGCATATTATCAATTGGTACAGGAAGTTAGGAACATTGTTCGAGACAAAACCAAATCTGGAAATTTAGAATTGAAAATGAAAACTGGACCAATCATCTCTTTCCTTTTCTTTTTTTCTATTGTTTTCATTTTTCATTCTCTCTTTTTTGGGTATGTTTGTTTTTATGGCTCTTTGGTATGAAAATCAACCAAGAAAAAAACTTCACCTAGCAATCTATGAGTGAACATGTAAGAAATTTGAATAACTAAAGAATAACATAAAATCCTACACCCTAATGCCAATCCCATCCATGTACAAAACACTGTATGTAAGCCAAGTCGAGTTTAGATTTTGTCACCATGCGTGCACGTACACACATGTACTTCAATTAGTCTATATTAATTATAAATTGCTTTAACCTTCCTTTCAATCAAGAGTACGGTATTTACAACTTGCAATTTATCTGTACAAAAACCCCAACTAAAAACACTCTGAGCGAAATACTTTCTAATAACTGGTCTCCTAATAGTAAACAAAAGAGACTACTGCAATGTACACACAGTTTTTATTTTAAAAAGCATATTTATTGGTTATTGTACCTGTTCATGTGTGTTTATGGTAAATATTTGGATTCTTGTCAATTAGCTCGAATCTGCAAATAGATCTTGTGTAAATACAATGGCTGTCAGATGGCTGTATTCTGAGGGACATGTGCAGTGACGTGTATAGAGAAATTTGTGTTGCAGATATAGGAAAAGACTACAGATACACATTTGTACATGAATAAATATGTCCATGAAATGAATAGATTTATTAGACTAAAGATAGAAAGGAGATAAGAAATACTAATAATGCTCTACTCTATAAACATCCTCTACAATCATTCAAAAAGTAATCATAATTATTAGATACAACATAGAAAATATTGTACCTAAAACATTTTCCTTATAATTACTGAAGTACAAAAATAATTCTCAATTTTAATTTGAACGACAAGCACAATTGCTCAGCAACGCAGAATAATTTTGACAGATAAAAGGGAGATAAGAAATACTAATAATGCTCTACTCTATAAACATCCTCTACAATCATTCAAAAGGTATTTATAATTATTAGATCAAACATAGAAAATATTGAGCCTAAAACATTTTCCTTAGATTTTGAACAAATAATAATTCTCAATTTTAAATTGAACGACAAGCACAATTTCTCGGCAACTCAGAATAATTTCAACAGATAGAAGGGGAAAATAAATACTAATAATGCTCTACTCTATAAACATCCTCTACAATCATTCAAAAGGTGTTTATAATTATTAGATAAAACGTAACAAATATTTTAAACCTAAAACATTTTCCTTATAATGTAATTAGTACCAATAATAATTCTCAATTTTAATTTGAACGACAAGCACAAATGCTCAGCAACGAATAACAATTTCGACAGATAAATTAACACTTGCGGTTCAATTATTTCAGCGCCTTGCTGGCCACTCCCAAAAAGATTAACGAAATAGCCTACGATTCTTTGTTGGTCCTCGGCTCCCGAATAACGAATTAATCCCAAACGTTAATGAACGAGCTGGAACTGAAATGAAGTCGAACAGTTGATGCAAGCGCTCAATTTGACAAGACTCCTGTGAGAAATGGAGTGGCTAAAATTAACTGCACCATTGACGACGATTAACACAGCACCGGTCTGTCTTAATCAACTGCACAATTTCCACTGTATAGGCCTTCATGTATGCATTAATTTAGATATTGAACAAGAAATACATGTACTTTTATTAAACATGTGGTCTTATCATTAGTGCACACACATTCACAATTGTGTCAAATTACTTGAATAAAATCTGACCATATGATATGTTGTGGTCAAAATGTGAGAAGAAAAAAATTGATTTTGAACTTGTGTCAAATACTTCAGCACAAAAGTCAAATTTTGTTTATATCATGATGAAAAATTTATATTTTCTGATAATGCATCACACCCCTATTTCAATTTTGTCTAATCCTCTACCAGTAGGTTTAACAAAATGTGTTTTGATTTGAGTTTGAAATTATTTTGAAAATTATTTTTAAAAGATGATAATCATCCACTTATTTTCCTTCAGAAAAAAATAAAGGACCAAAAGAAATTTAAAGCATTATACAATAAACATGAATCAAAAACTTGATATCCTCATGTACTATTGATCTTTTGAAAGAAAAAAGTAAAGTATAGATAAAGTCATTTTTCCAAATACATTTGTTCCTCTGTTTAATACGATACAATGCCATTTGCGGAAACCAATCAAATAAAGACAGTCTTTGACAATAATCATATTGAGTACATTCTCATGATGTATCTGCTCCTTCAGATCAGAAATGGATATTCCTGACTGAGATGCTGGAATAAGGAGGATGCTGATGATGATATTTCATTCCCCGCATCTTGGAATCACATTAAGACTTAATGCACTTTGGAAGATATTGGATTGATGAAGATCCCTTCAAAGGTTGTATTGCATTGAAGCAAGAAATAAAGGATAATATATCCAACGTTCCCAACAAGGAGAACATGTCCATGTACATGTCTGTGCATATTTTGTATGCTTAAAATTCAAAGAATAAACATTTCTGTGTTTTTTAGGCAAAACTTTAGCCTTTTCCCTCTTCAAGTGCAATCCAAGCCTTTCTAATAAGTTCATTCTTATAAAAGCTGAAATCAGATGACCAGAAGGGTGAAAGTTTTAAATAAATCAGACCAATAATAAGAAAGCTGTGAATGTTTAAAATATGAGATCATTCATTTAAGTCTATGCGAATCTCAAATTGGTAATTTGGTCAGTGGATTGTGACGTAGTCGCAGATAACTCTCCTGTTTGTCATACGTACAAAAATATCATTAATTTCTGTTTTTCTTTAATAAGTGCCCTCTCCTTTGGGGTACTACTCAAAATATATTATAGATATCATATTATATTATAGGGCCTCCAAAGAGACATTACTGATCAGCCAATTTGAAGAGCCCATATTTTGAAAAATTCATAACTTTAACATTTTTTGGTCTAATTTCATTCAAACTTTCACAGGTCTACTCTGATTTATCTGCTTTCCTCTAGAGTAGTTTGCTATCACGGTTGGTTTCCCTTTAACAAGAATATAAGTCATAGAGAGTGCACATGAAGTGAAAACACATTTTGGAATAGGTCCAAACTGGTGTTTTATTTTGTGTTCCATACATGTACATGCAACTGGATAGACTAGTTAATTAATGAGTGAACAACTGTGAAGTGACACCAAATATGTTATTTCACGTGATAATTAGGCATGTCCATGTTCTCATAATCTAAATATAAACCTAAACACAAGTATCAAGAAAAAAAAGGCACTTCTGATTGGCCCATGTTCTCGAATATGTAATTACCAACATATGGGATAACCTCATGATCTAATGTCATTTATAGCTTGAAAATCTGTTCTTCAAACCTAACACTATATTTTTAAATCTTAAGTTTAGATTTACAAGGTGTTTATTGTTGTATTTGAGGAGGCACGATAGCTCAGTCGGTAGAGCAGTGGTCTCGTAATCAGGTGACCCGAGTTTGAAACCAAGTCGATGCGCTAGTGCCCTTTGGTTAGGCATTAATCCTCATTACCAGGTCCTGCGGAGAGGACCTAAAGCCGTCGGCCCTCTGGTTGCTTACTAACAAGCATTTATGCTTTCTTAGCAGTCAGGTAAAATAACCACCACCACCACCACCAAGATTTCAATAAGCAAGAAAGATAATAAGGATATCAATACTACTTTTCTCAGTATTCTTTTTCTTATTCTCTCCTTTGCTCCATCACAGCGCATATGGACATATTTTGTGATATATACGCCATTAAAGTACGGAACTTGTATATCATTGTTATACATGTGTGTACCTTTAAATCCTTTAAATTGAATCAGTGAGTCAATTCTTTGATTTTGTTTCCACTCTAAATATGCCTAGAAAGTCAAGCATTAACTCAGATGGGTTCTCCATAGCTGCACTTCTCAACTTTGACTTTGGTCCCTATTACCCTCTAATTTGATGCAGCTCATGCAAGAACAGGTGCAGTTTTTAAGGTCATGTGATTTTTTTTCTACATCTACATCTACACATGTAGACTACCATATATACTACAACTGATGGAACCAGTGGAAATCCATGGACAGTTACGTACATACTTGAGTTTGAAAAATCATCAATATTATACATATTCGGTATGCTCCAGCAATTAAATAGAACAAAATATATGAGGCAACAAATTCAGAATTTCCTAGAGTGATGTTATATTTCCCTGAGGTTGAAATATAGGGGTCTGCTCACTATTCATGAGGAACGCTATTCATAAAAGACCGCTTTTCATTTAGTCCCGCGTTATGGATAGTGGTCCTCATGAATAATGGTCCTTATGAATAGCGGTCCTTATGATTAGCAGAGCTTGACCCGGATGGCACAAGGGGAATTCCGAATTTAGAGATGAATACCAGTACATGTTACCGGTATACTGAACAAGGCAGTAATGCATGCAACAATTGTTCAATAAAATGGAAGGTATTTGCAATCTCACGACTTTCTCCTTTGGAGTATTTAGGGACTCTTGATTAGATTCAAGTTGCCTTTGTATTAAATGCGTGCAGCTAAGACAATGCAAACAATGGATACGTGCAGGGAAGAGAGGCACGCAACCCAATTTACTTTTGAACGCGATATAAAGCACAAAAATGTTGTTACATTGCTGGGTCATGCACATACAAACAAAATTAATGTAGAGTGTCATGTGACACCGTTGCAGTAAATAGGATACCCGCTAACAAACACCCTAAATACATAAAAAATATGATACAGTTGCAGTTTATTTCCCTGTTTATATTATCCACAAATAAATTGTCCAGGAAATGGAGAGATCTTTAAAGTTCTTTATTGAGTGTTGTCTGTATGTTTTTTTAAAGTGTAGTGTGTATGACGATAGGGTTTTGTGTTTTTATTATGGTATGAAAGTGATCCATACCAAATTTCATGATACATATTTGGAATTAAAACTTGGCAAATGGGATGTGATCATTTTAAAGCCCCTCTACAGTGTTGGGAGCCCCAAATTCAAGCCTTTTATTAACCGGGCGCCGGGCGATTTTTACCCCACGGTCCCTGACTTTTGGCGCCCGGTAAGACGGGGAAAATGAGTACCGGGCGCCGGTCCATTTTTATTTCTGGCGCCCGGTCTGGGAGAATTAACATTTTCTATTTCATAAACTTCCACATGTCTAGCACTAAATGTTCACAAATGTGACAAAAACTTACTTGATACGAGTTAAACGTGGACTGAATGAACCCTAACAAACCATTATATAATGAGAATCCTAATTAAAATCGCCCAGAAAAATTGCAGCACTAAATACGAGCGGCCGCTATCTCCTACTCCTAGCGGAGTACGGAGCACACAATACGGGGGATGTACACCACTCAAAGACGAGCGCATTTCCCCAGGCCATGCATACACACACAAATGACATCAGTGCTGTACTGCACTACACACACAGTGTCAGTACAAGAAAGTCTCGATGTAACTTCCAAAAATCCATCCCAAAAGCCAAATTTTGCTGTCAAAAATGCGGAATCGGAGCCATATTTCCAAAGCTCACGGGGGTTTAGCCCAGTTTTAAGAAACAGTTTCATCAAAAAAGCGCTAAAAATCAAGAAATCAGCGATTTTGTTGCCAGTTTTTTTGCCTATCGCATGCCCTTCGGATGTAATGGTATCTTCAAAAAGCCAAATGAAAATCAGAACACCGGACCTGCTGATGCATTGACTTTATGTACAAAGTTGATTGCAACTCCAGACTTGCCTTGATTCAGCGGCCCTCATACTCATTGACTAAAATTCTGTGATGTTTTAAATAATGGATTTTTCTGATAAAATAGGTAAATATATTTAAAAATCTTTTTTCTTTTTTTTTGTTATTATTATTATTTTTTTTTTATTATTATTATTTTTTTTTTTTTTTTTTAAGTGACAGGTCTAAATAACAAACGCGTTAAACAGGCAAAATCTGTTTTTTTTAACTAAAATAAGCTTTTTCAAGCTGAATAATATGTTTTTTGAAAGTGACAGGTTGGCAGCTCTGCAATGTCATTATAGATGGTTTTTCTTAAGTATTTTTTTTACCAAAATAATTTAATTCCCCCTTTCCTAACATTTTTCAATTTTTGACATTTAACGGCATGAAAATAGTATTAAACATGAACTACAACAACTACATATGACAGATTTATCCAAGGTATGAGTGATTTAATATTGGAGTGCTCAAAATGTAAACTAGAAATTAAACTACAGTATGTATAAATAAAAGGTAACGTTTAACAAATAATTTAAAAGAATACATATTTTCATCCATTTTGGAAACGGCTCCTGGTCCTGGAAAACGGCTCCCGGTTCTCTAAAAAAATTAAGGACCGGGAGCCGCTTTTTCAGATATTTGGCTCCCGGTCTGCTTTGACTTAATAAAAGGCTTGCCCAAATTCATCAAAAATTTGATAGCAAAATTTCACTTAAATTGTATCATAGTGTGAAAGAGGATGTCAATTGAGACACACTTCTGCAAAGATTTCTCCCGAAAAATGTGTTTGAAAACAAATATTGAGAAAAGAATACATAATGTGGGTTTTATTGTATGCAGAAAACCTGAATTTTGTTTTCTTTCATCAATATTCAACTTAAAACACATTTGTTTTGAAAATCCTTGCAGAAATTTGTCAAAAATGATATCCTCTTTCACATTATGATACAAATGAAGTGAAATTTTGCCATCAAATTTTTGGGGCTCACAAAACTGTGGAGGGGGGGGGGGGGCTTTAAATTTTAAACACCATTAAGTCTACATTTCAAGACATTTCCTGAATTACTTACATCTCTGACGCTGTCTGCTCGGTAATCAACATGAATGACGTAATGGAAATATGGGCGGTAGACCGATCGCAGTAACTGATCCTAAAGCAGAAAGAGAAAAGAGAAAGATAGGGATGAAACAAATTATGAACAATTATCAATATTGTAGAATTGCCATTATATGTTGCGTTATTTTCACATATCAATTTCACTGTTTGATCTTTAAGAGTTGATCGCCATTCTATAAAATTAATTTTGTTATAATACAGTCAAACCTGTCTGTAGCCACCGCCCAAGGGAAACACAAAAAGTGGTCTTTGTAGACAGGTTCCTTTTTTTATAGTACAAGTTTCAATGAGAAACCATTTTCAAAGGAAACAAAAAATGTGGTCTCTGTAGACAGGTGGTCACTATAGCAGGTTTGACTGTACATAGAGATGTGACTTCCTTTATGTGTTAATATCTTTTAAATTTCAGCAAGAAGAATGAATATACAATTTGGGAATCCATAATCCCCAAAACAGTTTTTGAATATTTTTGTTGAGCCATTTGGAAAAATTCCACCATGCATTCCATATGTACAGTACTTTATTTTTTTTAACAAGAACTCACTAGTTTGTTGCAAGTCTAGACAACACATCTAGTTGCATGCTTAACAATACAATATAACCTGGAGCAGTTTTCTCTCAAAATACATTTTCATTTCACAAACTCAAGATTAGCTACAACTTTGCACTCCATTGATGCCATATTAGATATTTATCATTCATATCAAGAGCGATCAACAAATACGGTAAACAAAACCTATAAAAAAAAAAATCAGATTCAAATTATAATCTGAAATTCAGCTTTCCATCAAAATCATATCAATTCACCTTGACTCATTCATATCCCACGGCCATTGCACTTTACATGTCCAAGTATTCTTCTCTTGTTTACTTTCTTGGTTTCACTCAAAAGTCTAATAGAGTGTTTTGTTGAATTGTCACAGTGGACAGATTGCCCATTGAGTTTGTAGGGACTTCGATCCTGTCAAAAGGCACCCTGGATTCTGGACTGCAACCCCTTTCACACTACATGTAGCTGAATTCACACTGCAAGAAAAAAAATCATCAATTTTTTTCCTCATATATGCAGGTGTTTCATCCAAAGTTGCAAAGCAAAGCAACTACCAGCAAACACGACGGAAAACCTTAATCGAAAAATCCAGGTTCTACAATACACTTAATTTGCTGGTGGGAAACAACTGCCAGGACTTTAAAAAAAGAAATCAAGCTTAGGCAATTTAAATAGCAATCACATAAATGTGGAAACATTACAATGACGTATTACGTAATTAGGGCATGATCTCTACGGGTTATTCAATAGGTTGTTCAATTGGTTGTCGTAATTTGCCCTTAAAATATATTCTTGAGAGTCTCTGCATGCACTCAGATTCATGGCAAAACTTGGGTGTAAATGAATGACTGGCAAGATGCAATGCTTGGGAGAGGAGATAAATTACACAGCAATGAACATAAAAACCTTACAAGTACATGAACTTGAAAATTACCATCATGTGAAAGATACCCCCAGTTGTGTAAAGTGCACTGTGCTTATAGCTAATGTCACCTAATTTTGTCACAAGATAAATGTTTGAAGCAGTTTAGAGTCTTGTGACTGGATGGACCTTTATTTAGAGTTTTTTCTCACATTTGCAACATCAAACTTTCAAGGAACATTTGTAGACAAGTACGTTTCCTAAAGTTCTAAAGTGTACAACTATGTTATGGGTCCCTGGCAAATATGACCGCACAAAGATAATCTCAAACCACTTGGCAGTTGCATCACATGCTGTCTGCTAGCGCATCATTAAAAACAAAAGAGCTGAGGCAACTGGCATATACTTGCACACGATCGATCAACACTAATAGTGTTCATGTCTACCGAAACAATTAAGCATGGCAAAACTTCTGCGGGATCTTTCGCAAGACAAGTGCAAGATATTGTCTGGCCGCAATCGCCCAGGAAACCTCATATTGTAAAAGGAGGAGATGATTATCTTGATGAAATAAGTACCGGTATGTGAAAACGGTGCTGGTGAGAAAGAGAGCTTCACAATTGTCTGCATCTGACCCTAGTACAATATATCGATTTCCCTCTACTTATCTTGATAGAGCTGTGTAGTCAAAGCTTCAGACAGTCTGTGAGGTTGTTTTCTGATATTTTTTTTCTCTCTCCTAGTTTTCAGCTTCTTTCCAATGTGATATCGATATGAACTGCATTTGTACATGTCTGCAAATACATCATGCCTCTTCCCTCTTCATACTCTTAAATTTCTTTTGCATCCTTGGTTTTTTAATCAATTTACAGTTATATACAGCTACTATCAAAATTCTACAATTAAATTAAAATTAAAAGTGGCTGAATCATGCATATACATGTATATTCATGGCAGGACTTCTCACAGTCCTGACCGTGTTCTGCATCCGGTCTGCCTGAGACACTCTGCTTTTTCTTTTCTTTCTTTTAAATCTGTAATAATTCCCCTTTAGATCAAGACCTAGAACAAGCCTCATTTTCTTTAGTATACAAGTGTCATTACTGTAAATTTTAGGAGTAAATGGCCAGAACATTTGCATCGGTGTCTATGTCATGCAATCACTACATTTTGTGCCAATGTTTTAAGCAGCTTATTAAGGAAAATAGTGTCACTTTTTCAACTGATATACCCTACATGCCCAAAACTTTAGCTTAATAATGGAAAGAAACATCTGAAAGCAAAACATCATATTTTGTGAGTTCAAAAGAAACATTCTCTTCACTTTTCATAACATCTTCAATAGCTTTTAGTGTACATTTGTCTGCAAATTTCATTTTAAGACGACAAAAATGTATACCCGGTATTCATATACTAACATATATATCGCATTGATTTTGAGTGGTACATATACATGTTGCAAACAAAATATTTGAAAATTCCCTTTATTAAAGCATGGAGCTCATTCTAAAGAAGATTTCAAGGTAGGGCCAAGGGTATATTTACATTCCTTCATAAAGAGAATACTTTTTAGTTCAAATCTATACAGGTGGTTGCTAAAAAAACAGGTTTCACAATACATATGTTCAATGTCATATAACCGGTATCTGGCATCTGCATGAGCCACAATTATAACCATGACTCCAGATCACCTTTTGCCTTTCAAAAAAAAGCTAATTTCAGGGCTATTATCACGATTAAAGTTTATGGTCATGCCCAGTGAATGCAATCCCGTTTAATTATGATGTCAATGAGCCATGGAAAGAGCATTATTTAATTACAACCACACACACTGGTTCACTGGCACACTGGCAATTATACTGTTGTACATATCTCATAACTTGTGTTTTTCCGGAAAGATTAATTGAGCATTCATTGTCATCTATCTCAGATTAGCGCAAATTTTTAAATGGTGAGGTTCATGTGAAAGTCTGTTAAAGATAAAGACCAGCTATGGTCATGCGATTGCGTTGTGAAAGAAACGTTGTGGAATAGATCAGAAAAGGTTGATCATCTAGCATAAAAGTATTGGTGTGTACTGCAAGGTTCTGGAATTATCAAAATGATAAGAAATTTGGCCCAGTCTTGGTAAAGTTACAAGCACTGTACACAAAAAGATGTGTGCGTAGTCACGCACACGGGCGTGACAGGTGCGTTATATCTATCAGGTCCAAATAGATATAATAAATTACCAAATATATCAATTAGTATGCGTTTTCTCGGCAAAATTTTTGTATGATCACGAATAAGTCAAAACATATTCTTTCACATGATTGGTAATAAAAACTTCCATTTCATTTTTTAAGAGGGGGGCGTTTCCAAAACTGGTCTTTACCTTTAACTGTAAGTTTAGTCATGGTTTTAAACGTTGAAGATATCATTCAGTTTATAGGGTAGGGACCATGAGGACACACTCATTATTAAAGTTCACTCAATGTTATGAACCATGAGCAATGTAAGGTTAGCACAATAACTACAAGCTGGAGGGGTCTCCACCTGAAGTAATGTGCGAACGAACGAACGTAACATATGAGGTTATGCCAGCTTGTAGTTTAAAGGGGCTGACGTTTAAAACCTTGAATAGTCATTGTTCTGGGCCTAGCTGTGTGAACCCTCATCATTGTGAATCGTGGTAAATAACTTTGAGGTTTGTTACTGAAAATTTTAAACTATGAGGTTCCTGTGTAAACATAGCTAATGACATGAAACCAAGTACAACCACACAATCTACTTCTCATACATGTACATGACTGTAAAGACAAATACAGCTCTGAGCCAAATATCACTGAGCTGAAGTTCACTACCAGTTAGATAAAAAATACATTGTCCATTTAGTTACATCTCTAGATGATAGATCAAAATTTATGCCAGATTTTTGGTTACGAGCAAATGCCAAAAGGGGAAAATGTAAATAAAAGGCAAATTTCTCATCTTACGTGATTGAACGATATCCTTTTATAAATACGTCTTTTAACATATTTTTTCTTGCAATCAATCACTCAAGTTTATTCAACGACATCCTATTTCACATTTTTCGTTTGAGAATGTTTGAAAGCACACAGTGCATGTATACCTCAACAAGGGTACTATTTCTGTGTGAGGCTATAACTTAATAGTGCCCTTCTGGCTCCAAACTGAAGGGAAACAAGCTCCTTGCTTGGAACTTTGATGTGAGTTTCATAACATTTCAGAGTCAGAAATTTCAGAATGATTTTGAGAGATGGAATGCTGGGGTTAATCAATGTCACGACCTTCAAATCCGGTTCAGTTGAGCACCCCCCCCCCCTATCCTCTCTAGGCGCATTTATACTGTCAAATACCTCATTTTGAAAAGTCGCGATGTTTCGTGCACCCGGTTACACTTGTGCTGAAACATCACCGACGGAGCTGTTCAGCGATGTTTTGGCGTGTTTCGGTTGGTAATGCGCATGTGCAGTCTTCCCGACCTTTGACCCCGGCCTGCTATAAGATTTTTAGCGCGCGCAATTTCCAGCTAGCGCTATAGCTAGCTAAATAGCGATACATCCCATGCGCATGCATGCGATATGTTTTGTTTATCTCGCGTGTAGTATTTGAGGCAAGA